GAATGGTTGCCAGTGTATTCCATGGCACTGAGCCCACTGCTAGGGCCACAGAAGCCACTCAACAAGGTAGATCTTCAACTTAATTTCACTGTTAAAAACACAGTCTCCAAAGCAGTCGACTTGGATCGCCTGTGAGAAATTAGGATGCACATTCAGAAGTGGTGGAGGACGAGAAGAGGGGGTGTGAGGAAGACAAAGAAAGAACACTGTGAATGTAGGTCCCTCGAGAGCAGGAGACACGGCTTTGTAGGGTGTATTTGCACCCGACCAAGATAAGCAGACGGCGAAGAATAACAAATACGAGAACAACATCATATCAGAGATCTGCACAACCTTTCTGTGCGAACAGGAGAGGGAGAGTGGCCAGTTCTCTCAGCAGGTGGAAGACTGTTAAGAAAAGGAAGAGAGGTGAGCGCAGGGCCACAGGGCCAACCATCTGAGAGAGACTGGCCTCTACAGCTGAAAATACTTCTCACCCAAAGGGCAAACATCAGGTTTTGAGTTCATTTCCCTGTTTTGGTCGCGCCTTTCCTTAATGCAGCCCCCTCCCCAATAAATGACAACACATATTTGTAGCTGGGATAAAGGGATTGGGGATAGGGGCATGAAACAGCATGAGGGCAACCCGCCCAACCCAAGACACCAGAAACTCTGTCTCCTAAGTGTCACGTCCTTAGATGAGCAAATTCACACCTTAAAAGGCAAATGTCTTGAGTAGCATTCTGTGGCTGCTGAAGAACAAACCCCAAGCTCCTCAGCCTGGTGTGTAAGGCCCCCCAGATGCCGGCTACGGGGTCATGTCAGCCCTGTGCCCCAGGGTTTCCTGTACCCTTCTGCTCCAGCCAGACTGAATTACTTAGGTCTCCTGGACCTCAGGTATGGATGACCTGGAATTTTCTGGCGACCCACTATCTTTTGCTAATACTAGCCCCTCTGCTCAGAATACCCACTCCTCTGTCTCCATGAGTCTCGTCCCTCAACTGTTGGCTGAAATGCCATCTCTGTCTATCAATCCATCCATCCATCAAAACCTTAACCAACTACACTGATTAAGTGTTTTTAGCTGCCAGGCACTGGGCTTAAATAAACAGGAATGACTAAACCGAGGCTGCGGGAATAGCCAGGCTCTCTGAGATTGTGTACTTTCTGGTACCTCTCCTATGTTAATATTTTTTATCTTATATTCTTACTTATGTACTCATGTACATGATTCTTGAGACTGTTGGCAAGACATGTGCCGGATTCATTTGTGTCCTCCTCATTGTAGCCACGAAGCTCAATATAATGGCATCGACTAGGTGCTCAATATACACCTGTAGTAAGCATCAACTCCAGCTCAGCATCATGAAGCCTAAAAGCATGTCTGCACCATTCCTATCCCAGCATGTCTGCACCATCCCAGCCCCTGGCATGCAGGAAGCACTCGATACACGGGTGATGTGGGAAGATGCATTGAGGGAGAGCTCTCAGTGCCTTCTCTGCTAGGAAAAGCGTTCAGTACTTCATTCAAGGCCAACACAGGACCCAAACTGGAAACGTGGAGTTACACATCCACATGATACTGAAAGATAGCAGTATACGCCAGAGCATGAGAAACCCCCCCTGTGACCAGTAATACTATATACCACTCCCTATGAACCGAAATCAAGATTCTATTCTGAGCCGCATATTTAAAGAAAACATTCCAGTATCAACAAAATACCTTTCTCCAAACTAAGAAGGGTCATTCACACAGCAGCACTGGAGACAGGCCTAGGCTTTTGGTTATGTTCAGCCTTGTCCTGCCCACTTGGTAACCCAGCCAGTTCTTTTAACCACCCAGTGTCAAAGGTCAAAAGGCACAGGAAGACACTAACATAAAAGAAATTTTTAAAAGTCATTGCCTGGACTACCACTCAGAATAGAAAGGAACACACTATTGATCTATAAAAGAACTTGGATGAATTTCCAGAGAATTATGTTGAGTTAAAAAGGCCAATCCCAAAAGGGCATGTCTGGATGATTCCATTTACATAGACTCCTTGCAATTATAAAATTATAGAAATGGAGAACAGATTAGTAGATGCCAGGGGTCAGAAATGGGGAGTAGGAGGGCGGAGGAAAGGGGGTGTGGTGATAGAGCTGTTCTGTATCTTGACTCTTGTTACTGTCAGTATCTTGGTTGTGATATTGTGTGATCGTTTTGTAAGATGTTACTATTGGGGGAAACTGGGCAAAAGATCTCTCTGTCTTATTTTCTTACAAGTACATGTAATCTACAATTACCTCAAAATAAAAGTTTAACTTTTTCCCAAACAGTCTTGAAAAAGATGAACAAAGTTAAAGGACTCACACTTTCTGATTTCAAAACTTATTACAAAGCTATAGTAACGAAAACAGCGTGATATGGGTATAAAGACAGACATGTAGACCAGTGGAACAGAACAGAGAGCCAGAAGTAAACCCTTGCATATCTGGTCAAATGATTTTTGATAAGGGTGCCAAGGCCATTAAATGGGAAAAGGAGAGTCTTTTCAACAAGTGATGTTGGGAAAACTGGATATCCACATGGAAAAGAATGAAGCTGGACCCTTACTTTATGCCATATATGAAGATTAACTCAAAATGGACTAAAGATCTAAATATAAAACTGTTAGAAGAAAACATGGGTGAAAAGCTTCATGACACTGGATTTGGCAATGATTTCTTGGATAGGACAACCAAAGCACAGGCAACAAAAGAAAAAAAAAAAAAGAAAAACTGGACTTCATCAAAGTTAAGAATTTCTGTGCATCAAAGGATACAATCAACAGATTGAAAAGGCAACCTATGGAATGGGAGAAAATATTTGCAAATCATGTATCTGATAAGGGGTTGATATCCAGAATATATAAAGAACTATAAGTCAACAACAACAAACAACAACCTGATTAAAAAATGGGCAAAGGACTTGAATAGACATTTCTCCAAAGAAGACACACAAAGGGCCAACAAGCACAATAAAAGATGCTCAATATCACTAATCTTTAGGGAAAAGAAACTCAAATCCATAATGAAATACCACCTTACACCCACTTAGGATGGCTATCATAAAGACAACCACAAAAATAACAAGAGTTGGAAGGATGTGGAGAAATTGGGATGCTTGTCCAGTGTTGGTGGGAATGTAACATGGCGGGACACTCTGAAAAACAGCATGACATTCCCCCCCAAATTAAAAACAGGATTACAATATGATTTGGCAATTCCCCTTTTGGATATATACCCACAAGGATTGAAAACAGGGTCCTCAAGAGATATCTGTACACCCATGTTTATAGTAGCATTATTTACAATGGGCAAAAGGTAGAAGCAACCCAAGGGTCCATCCACAGATGAACGGATAAACAAAATGTAGTATGTGCATATAGTGGAATATTTTTCAGCCTTCAAGAGGGAGGGAATTGTGTTCCATGCTAATCATATGGATGAACCTTGAGGACATTATGTTAAATGAAATAAGTCAATCACAAAAAGACAATTCCTATATGATTCCACTTAGATGAAGTACCTAGTGTAACCAAATTCATAGAGACAGGAAGCAGAATGGTGGTTGCCAGGGACTGGCAGGGAGGGGAGGGGATCGAAAACGGGAAGTTATTTTTTGATGGGCCCAAAGTTTCAGTTTTGCAAGATGAAATGTGTTCTGGAGACGGAATGTGGTGATGGTTGCACAACAGCGTGCATGTCCTTAACACTTGTGACCCGTACGTTTAGAAGTGGCAAAGGTGGTGAATTTTGTTAGGTGTACCTTACTAAAATTGAAAAGAAACAACTAAAACAACAACAAAAGAGAAATTTGATTATTTTAAAAAGCCACGGCCTCCTCGATCCAAATACCTGTCATTATGTCTTCGTTTTATAAGCTAAGGGAAGAGAAGAGTACTAGCCCATCCCTTAATAAAACCTCGAAGACTTCAAATCTGGAGATATTGGCCCACCGAGCCTTTCTAATGCCTTTAATTAACTTCATAATCCATTCTGATTCACATTCCCTCTGCCTGTTAGTTATTCACCTAAAGTTACTATCAACGTTTCAGGAGCGATGAAAAATGTGCTACTGATCCATATTGGCACTTGACCTTAAATACCAGCAAATGGATAAATCAAAACCATAGATTAATCATGAAAGAGAAAACAGAGACTTTTTTTAGAAAAAGAAATGTTGTGTTTTAATTTGTCTGCTCCTGCTCGACCTCCAGATTAATAAGAGCAAGAACCTATCCTTTCTTGTTTGTCACCACATAGTACATGCTCAATTAACTCCCGGTGGCTCGGTGGAGCCAGCCAACTCCCAGCACGGCCACTATTCTTTGCCCAGAACGTTTAGGTTGTCATATCCTTTCTTTTCAAACATGTCTGTTGGTTGAACTTGGTGATGTGCTATGAAGAAAATCAGAGGAATTTCCAAGGAAATTTCATAGAAAATATTTTTTCATGAAGAAAATTTTGGGGAAATGGAGAGTTAAAATAAATAAATAAATAAATAAATAAATAAATATCTCACAAGACACAACACTTTGCTTTGGCACTGTTAACTATGGGTCAGATCACCTCTACAAAGTAAAGAGAGGCAATCTGAAGGAGTTTGTATCCTTTGCATAGACTCCCCTCACCCCACATAACCCCCAGGAATGCCATTGCAATGCGAGGTTCAAACTGAAATCCCCTCAGTGCCGGGTGCTATCTGCTTCCTTCTAACTCCTCCAGAGTGAGCCGTGAAGTCACCCTGAAAATTTTACTCCTACTGGAACGATATCATTTTTCGTAATTACTGAATTTTAATTTCTTTTATGTGAGTGTGCAGCCTTTCATGTATTGAGCCAATTAAGTGAAACTTGGTTAAAAATCAAAGGTAAAAAAGGGAATTTTGGTAGAAAGTAAAACAAGGAATTTTTAAAAGGAACCCAAAGTTGGAGGAGTTGTTATTGTCATTTAAAAGGGGAATTTTTTCCATTATGAGTCCAAAACCAGGGTCTGACCTGCAAGCCCTGATGGGTCCTATTACTCTTATTCTCCATGAATCTTCCTCCTCCTGCTGTCTTGGGTGGTGTCCGTTTCTCAACAGCAACCTGACAGTGTTCCTGAAATGAAGAACAGCCCTTCAACAACATCTAAACAGATGGGAAATTTAGAACTTGAAACAAACACAAAAGACAGACTGGGACTGGGTGGCCACAAACATTTATTTTTGGTAAAACCTTATAATAATAAAAATGGTACTTTACCTGGTTTTGCTTGTAATCAGAAGAGTCACAAGCTATGAAGGGGTGGATACACCTTCTCTCACTTTTACACCAAGCACAGCCAGTTCCAATACATATTGGGCATCTGGCAAAACGGAAAACCAACTTAATGCCTGCATTTTTAGGAAAATGTTCATATCCTAGAATTTCCCTCTGTGATGTGGTGTGCAAGCAATTAAAAGAAGATGGGAAAACAACCACCACCACCACCAAAGCCCTGGACAGACTGATGAACCCGGGGGAGAGAGGACAGTCCTCCGAGGCTGGGGCTAGAGCACCGAATTTGTGCCCTGCTCTGGGCAGCCCCCGGGACTGATGGACCGTCATCATACCTGCAGGGCTGTTGCCATGGAAACCGGAAGCTGGGGTCACCTGCCGAGCTGGTAGATAACAGGAACCCACCGGCTCTGTTTCTGAATCGGGTTCTGCTATTTGTCTACCCTCAGGGAAGTTTCCCTCTGGAGACTGACCTCCCCGTCTCCACCCCTAGATCAGCATGCCCTCCCTCGCTGGACTAGTAACACCCCTCAACTGCCTGGAAGAGGCGAGACCAAAAGTATGGCCTGGCAAGTAGAGGGAAGGGGGCGCCACTGTTTGCTTTTTAATCAAATTAAGGAAGAACTGTGTCTACTAATCAAATAACCTACCACGTGAGGATAACAGCGGAGGACTTGAAAAGCTTGTCATAGGAAAATCGGAGTTGAAGGAACAATGAAACAGAAACTGAGGTTGGTCTGGAAACACAGCCATGGGAGGTCAGCCTGGGACAGCAAGAGGGCCAGTGCAGGGAGCGGGGACACCGCTCGTATTTTAGAGTCTTCAAGAAATGCCAAAGCATTCTGTGACTCCGATCTAGAGAAGACTGCAGCTTTGATGGGAGGAGGAAACGCAGGCTCACTGAAGTGTTTATCCAGCCACCTAAGTGAGCTAGAAGCAGGCTTGTGATCTGCATTTGATGCCCCTCCGGTGTGAGTCCTGTACTGAGTGCTTTACTAAGGGAAGTAAGTACTCAAGGACAGGGCACACTCACCCTCCGGGGAGCTGTGCGTCTGAGCAGCTGGTTCGTAATTACCTAGTTGTGGGACCCAGGGCCAGTCACTTCCTTCCGCCTGGCCTCTACACTGGGGAGGGAGGACCTGCTTTATGTTTCAGCTCTCTTTGAGCTATAAAATTCTTTGTAACTCTCCCCCTTTTTTCCTATTTCCACAGACTTCCCAGGCTTTCTGTATCAAGTTTGCTTTCTTCTCCCTCCCAAAATGCATCCAGTTTATTAGAAATAACTGAATTTGATCCCTCTTTAAGAGTGCCACGGTGGTGAAGACAGGGTCCAGGGGCTTCTATTCGGCTAGCGGTAGAGGGGCCCTCCAACTCAGTTTCAAGCCTGAATTCATTTTCCCCCTAGCAACAGTGGTTCTCAGGCCAGGCCAAATGAAACTCGCATTCGATACCCACAGAGTTGGTCAATCAAACGACTGAATGAACTATAGAATCACTAATAATACAGCTTCCCGTTGTTTCCATGGGAACCTCCAACCCATCTTCCAACTGGAAAATCAGGAATCTGAGAAACACGTTTCCTCCCTGTCTTCTCTCTGCTTTAGAAGCAAGGAGTGCGGTGTGGCCCTAACTCAGGGGGGTACATAGCCCAACATGGCCAAAGGTGGTACAAAAAGGTTGGCGGGGGGAGAGGGGTGGGTTGGGTGGGAATTAACATGTTCCTTTGATGGAAGAGATTTCATCTTCTCCTTCTCCTTGATGATTTCCCTTGCCTCATGCTCACACCCTCTCCCTTGACTCAAATTCCCAAAGCCGTTCTGATCAGGGGAGAACATAACAGCCACCCCCCCACCCCCCCGCTGTACTCACTTGAAGGCATCTCTTGGTCTGGGGAAAACGTATTTCCCTATTGGTAGGAACACTTAAGCACAGCCATTTGTTCCTTAGCTGCTGCACCTTACTTATTAGGGCTTGAACGAGCCAGCTTATTAGCTCAGGGGCCCTCCTATCTCCCGTTAGGCCATGCTCCAAAAGGCCCTTTAGAAAGTTCTACTCCACAAAAGAGTTCTTTAAGGAGGAAATGGAGGCATAAAGCAAACAAATAAATTAAAACCAATGAAAGAATATTGAAATTTCAAATAAAATCTTACTCTCTTAATGACGAGCAGTTGGTAAAGTTGAATCTTTTTGATAAATGCCAAGAACCGACGGGTGATGTCACGTTGACAACCAAAACATCTGGAGCAAAGGGGAAAAAAAGGTCATTTACGATGGAGTCCCGCTATCATCAAGCAAAGCTGTAAATGCAAAAAATAAATATTTTTGCCTCCTTTGCACAGAGGGTGGGGGTGTCCCAGCTGCTGGCATGTGGTTCGTTCCCGGGGGCCGTTCGCGTCAGGCAGCCGAAGTGCAAGCACAAGCCTCCAAACAGACCCAGGCCCACCTCGCGTTCCAAGCCTCCCATGGATAATCACTAGGAAAAAGCCATTTTATAGCCCATTTACATCTCATACTCTCCCCGGGATCACTATCTCAGCTTGTAATTGGCCACAGCATAAGAATAAAACAAGTCACCGAGCAAGAACTGCCTAGAACATGATAACCAGAATGTTGGAGACAAAAATCCTGTAGCTTCAGCAAAATCCACACTGCCGATATTTGCCTAACAGACTCTAAGTGTGCTTCCCATGGGCTGGGTTCCATGATCCTCTTGGAGTCAACTGTTGCCAAATCTATGATAAAAAGTTTTCTTATTTGCTTTGAAAACATACTCACTGGGTAGAAACCCCTCAAAAGAATAAAGTAACAAGAAAGATAAAAACCGTGCTCAATCAGCATTAGAAAAATGTCATTGTTCCTGTATGTCCTCAACTTCTATATTCTATCCGAGGTGATTCTCAATCCCAGGAGTGTATCAGAATCACTTGAGAAGCTGATGAAAACAGATCCCAGAGCCACGTGCCTCCATATCCTGACTTAACACACCTGGAGAGCCTCTGGGACTCTGTGGTGGGCAACGTGCCCCATGATATGATTGTATGCAGCCGGGGCTGGATACAGAGCCTGGAGCGGTCCCCTCGAAGCCCACTGTGTCCAGGGACTGGTGCTCCCCGGTGAGGTTTTCAGTGTCATCCATTTGGGAGGATACTGTCTTCCTTTTATGAGTTAATGGAGACAGAGGATGAGACTTTAAAAATGAAAGGCTTCACTTAGCCAAATAAGAAGTTGGCATAAGTTTGTTGGCACCCTTTACTTTTCTATAGCGAAATTTTATTAGTGTGTGATTCCCAAAGTCTGAGAACCCTTAACTTAAGATACTTCTCTACAGTGAAAAAATTCATTCTGAAAGCCGGGATACCACAAACAACTCTGCTCACATAAAGTGGTTACGTACGAAAGGATAACCCTCAACTGTAAAGACAAGGAGGTCTGAGGGCTGGCGTGACCTCTCAGCAAGAGCATTGGCACAGCCGCTCGTAAATGTTAGGAGAACGGACATATAGACAGGAAGCACAGAGAGACTCCCAGGGAAAGTACACTTCAGTGGAATCTACAATGTTCAGTGATGAACACCAGGAAAATTTGTACTTTTCTTCATGTCAGCCATGCACAAAACACTACTGGGAAATATCACAAGGAAACAAATATATTTGATCTCTGCTCTGGCAGCATTTACAGTGATTCTGCAAGAGATAAAATGGCTTAGGTGGAAAAGCCCAACAATGACAGGACTCAAGGAAACAGTCCATGAGTGGTTTGAGTTCCATGTAGCACCTGGCTACGCAGATGGGGGTGCCTGTGGGGACTGTGGGGGGTGCCTGAAGAGCTTGGACTGTTATGAAGGAAGTGATACTTCCTCCACGGTTTCAAAGCAGAAGGGCAACAGGATTTGATGAAAGGGGTGAGGGCACGGACAGAGGTTTGGCAATGACCACCCGCTGGCTGAATGCACGAGGTGGGATGGGAGTTTGTTTGCTGGCTCAGAATATGCAAGGCATTCCAAGAAAAGGGCAGGCAGAGGTTGGGTGCAACGGATGGAGGCTCTAAACGGGACCAAAGGGCTTTACAAGGTGATCTCAAATACTTGAAAAACAGATTTTATACATGAGTAAGATCTGCATTATAATGAGCAAATTAACTAGAAGCCCATCACAAAGGCTGCATAGGGTAAACAAAGAAAAGTGGAGAACTGAAATCATTTTCCAAGCTATTCGATCCCAAACAGTCACCAAGAGCCCAGGGCCTGAGAGGCATTTTTTAAGCTTGGGTCTCTGGCCTGGCGCTCTAAATTCCCTTTGGAGAGATTTGGGATGAACTGAGTAACACCAGTTCTCACCACGAAACTCAGGTCCATCATGATTTTCCCCCTTTTTAGGAGGCCTGCACCAATCTTGTGACCCTACTTCTAGTCTTTCTCTCCCACAGGGATTCCTGAATCCTCAGTGCGTCCACCATAACTCATAACCATCCAGATTCTCTGGAATCTGCCTACTTCTCTCCATCCCTGTCTCTGCACCCGCTCTCACAGTCACCCCCCACCAGGATCACCCCAACAGCTTTCCTTCTATCTGATTTTTCACAGCGCACTCCTTTCCTTTTCTAGCCATCCTCCACCTGCAGCCATTCATTCATTCATTCATTCATTCAACAAAAATTTATTGATTGTAAATGGCTCTTTACACCAGATACTCTGTGCCTTCTCTGGTATCTATTGCTTTCCATCTGTCCCTACCCCATTTGCCTGAACCATATAGAACCTCTTATGGCTTTTCAAACAAAGCTTTTTTCTCTCTTTCTAGCCATCACACTAGTTGGTCTCTGCCTGGAATGCTCCTCCCCCTTTTCTTTGGCTCCACTCTATTCATCTTCTAGGAAGTTTTCCTCATCCCCTCAGCCACCTCCCAGGTTCGGTTAGGTGCCCCTTTCCTCTACTTCCCATGGCTCTCTATGCATTTACATGCTTCATTATAACAAGTCACCTACTTGTCTCTACCCCAAGAAGCTATAAATACTGCGAGCAAGAACCAGGTCTGTCTTTTTTGGTCACTGTATCCCTAGCACCTAGCACAGTGCCCAACACATAGTAGATATTCAATAAACACTTCCTTTCTGAATGAATGCAATGATCTTAAGATGATAGAACATTAGCTGTTCTATTTTCTCATCCCATCAAGGGCATTCCCAGCTTTTCTGATCTCTGAATTATCTGAACCCTTTGGGTAGGGGAAGCCCAATGATCTCTAGCTTTACCCCACTGTCGTCTCGAGCATCCCCTCCTCTGTCATTCTCCACTCACACATAAGAGTGGGATGCTGGTGGGGCGCCTGGGTGGCTCAGTTGGTTAAGCGACTGCCTTCGGCTCAGGTCATGATCCTGGAGTCCCTGGATCGAGTCCCGCATCGGGCTCCCTGC